GAAATCTGAAACCCTCTGGACTGTTTAATATTCCAGTTCCAGCCCCTGTTGATCTAACCACTTGACAATAACACCACTTGGCCTCTTTCCTCACAGTTTTCAATGAGCTGTCTACCTGAGCGTTCAGCTTGCATTTGGTTTTACTTACATCACATCTTGGCCGTTTGGTAAATAACACACATTCACCTCTACTCAGGCATTTTCTAGAGTACTGAGGCAACATGTTGACACCCAGCAAATGCAGGAAAAAAAGGTCTGTACTGCCCTTTTAATAAGAAAACATTGACTCAGCCTCTGTCATCAGTACTGGCTGTCTGAACCCAGACTAGTGATAATAATCCTTATCATCCCGCTCCATCTATGGTGCATGTCTGATATAAACACACTCCAACCAAGACACCTGGGCTCAGTCTCTCTTTGCTCACTTGTTTTGTGTAGCACATATGAGCTTTTGTGTGTGAGTATTTTGTGCATGTTTGGGGGTGTATTGTTTGGTATAATAACGCCTGATGAATGAAGAGACTACTTAGCTGACAGAGGGTCCCATTAACATGTACCGCTTGGCTCCCCCTTGCAATCCGTCACACACCACATAAACACACACACACATACAGGTAATCAATAGGATGATTTAATGGCATCTGTTCTGTGTCCGCAGGGAGCGATAGCATTCATTGTTAGATTTAGCCGTGGTCTCTTTGGGTTAAATGTATGGAGGATTTCACACCAAAATGCTTTTCATTTTGAATCATGCAACAAAATTGACAAGAGAGAATATTGCCACATGAAATTAATCTGCAAATATTATAAAAAACACCGGTGATATCTTAAATCCCAGCTGACACATATTACTTGCTGAGAGTTAGATGAGGAGATTGATACCACTCATGTCTGGATGCCAAGTAGAAAGCTTGAACCAGCAGGCGATTAGCTTAGCATAATAACTGGAGGATATGGCGGAAATTAGCTAGATTGGTTTTGTCCAAAGTTTTAAAAATCCACCCCTTTAAAACCAGGGCCTCCTTCTGCGACCCAACTCTGCAACGGGGCTGGGAGGAATTCCCACCTGGAGGAAGCGTTTGAAACTTTAAAGCTAAGCTGAACATTGTAACGCATTTTGAAACAAAAATCCTTGATGATTTGATCTTATGATAATATGTAATTTTTTTTTTTATTCTCTTGATGAAAAATTACCTTACTATAATTGAATCTTACAGCCCAGTACATTTGAAAACACCTGTGCCTTTAATATAAAGTATTCCAGACTTCTTCATGTTTTCCCAAGCAATTGTTTTAAAGCTGGTATTTACACATTGTCCAATGGCATGTGATGATCACTCCCACATCTGTTACCCACATCTAACAAGAGTCTGGACCTTGTCCACCTTCAGATCAGGACATTGAGACCTGAACAAGTCCCCACACTGTTTGGACTTTTAAATGTAGATGTAGACAATATATTAACAAGTATAAAAAGTCTATTACTTTATTGTATTCTATCGTGGTTTCCAAGAAGGTGTCTATTCTCACTCGCCTCCTCCAAGTCCCCTGTGCCTGTTCTGTCTTCACCTTCCTTCTCTCCCTGAATCATCTGGAGCAAATATGAGATTGTCAGTGTGACTGTGTGTCTATTGATTTATTTAACATGACCAAAAAGAGTAGTGATAGACTTTTGCATTTTTTAGTATTCTATGTATTTCCAACAATTACACAATTCTCACCTCCTCCACGTCACCTATGCCTGCCTTTTCTGCAACTTCTGTTACTGCTTCTGTCTCCCTCTCTGTCCTCTGAATCCGCAAGAGTCAACATGAGATTATTTGTCAAACTATTGCTTGCTGTTCATATTTGAACGGTGTGGGTCTACGTGATTCCATGACAGATGACTGTAGGTGAACGTAGGCTGTTGCCTTTTCAAGCTTTAAGTTGATCCTTATTATCTCCATGTCTTCTCCTTCATCATTTTCTTGACGGATTACAACAAAGTGAACATGCCATATAGAACAGCATTTGGTTAAGAAACCGCCATAGAAATACAGCTCTGGATTACTTTTTAGCGGTAGGTCATCCATCAGACGAAGCGAACACGATATGAAATGCATCAAAATGCAACACTCCACCCACTTGATGCTGTTGGATTCAACAGCTTTCAGGAGTGGAGACATAAGTGGAGCACTAAAGACAACTTAGTGGTGATGCTTATGTAAAGTGCCTCAAACCATTAAGAGTGTATAATACACTCACCTAAAGTATTATTAGGAACACCTGTTCAATTTCTCATTAATGCAATTATCTAATAAACCAATCACATGGCAGTTGCTTCAATGCATTTAGGGGTGTGGTCCTGGTCAAGACAATCTCCTGAACTCCAAACTGAATGGGAAAAGAAAGGTGATTTAAGCAATGGGCGTGAGCGTGGCATGGTTGTTGGTGCACAACCATTTCTAGGGTTTACAAAGAATGGTGTGAAAAGGGAAAAACATCCAGTATGCGGCAGTCCTGTGGGCGAAAATGCCTTGTTGATGCTAGAGGTCAGAGGAGAATGGGCCGACTGATTCAAGCTGATAGAAGAGCAACTTTGACTGAAATAACCACTCGTTACAACCGAGGTATGCGGCAAAGCATTTGTGAAGCCACAACACGCACAACCTTGAGGCGGATGGGCTACAACAGCAGAAGACCCCACGGGTACCACTCATCTCCACTACAAATAGGAAAAAGAGGCTACAATTTGCAAGAGCTCACCAAAATTGGACAGTTGAAGACTGGAAAAATGTTGCCTGGTCTGATGAGTCTCGATTTCTATTGAGACATTCAGATGGTAAAGTCAGAATTTGGCGTAAACAGAATGAGAACATGGATCCATCATGCCTTGTTACCACTGTGCAGGCTGCTGGTGGTGGTGAAATGGTGTGGGGGATGTTTTTTGGCACACTTTAGGCCCCTTAGTGCCAATTGGGCATCGTTTAAATGCCACGGCCTACCTGAGCATTGTTTCTGACCATGTCCATCCCTTTATGGCCACCATGTACCCATCCTCTGATGGCTACTTCCAGCAGGATAATGCACCATGTCACAAAGCTCCAATCATTTCAAATTGGTTTCTTGAACATGACAATGAGTTCACTGTACTAAAATGTCCCCCACAGTCACCAGATCTCAACCCAATAGAGCATCTTTGGGATGTGGTGGAACGGGAGCTTCGTGCCCTGGATGTGCATCCCACAAATCTCCATCAACTGCAAGATGCTATCCTATCAATATGGGCCAACATTTCTAAAGAATGCTTTCAGCACCTTGTTGAATCAATGCCACGTAGAATTAAGGCCGTTCTGAAGGCGAAAGGGGGTCAAACACAGTATTAGTATGGTGTTCCTAATAATCCTTTAGCTGAGTGTATATACAGTGTGTCATGTGTCATGATGTAAAACACTCTGTGCTTTACTTGTTGGCAGTTAATAATCTGTACTGTATTGTACCTGCGGCCAACTTATATTATTATGTGGCTTGGGTGGTAGCAGCGTGGCTAATGTTAGCTTGTTTGAATTGATCTGCAGCATTGACTGTCCTGCTAGTAGCTTCATTCAGTAAGGCTAAACAAGTTAGTGCGAACCTTTTTAAACTGGTAAAAAAACCAAACATTTAACCTGCAGACAGCAGCATGTCTTATTTACGGTTTATAAGGGGATAAACCTTGCAGCAGAAGAATCAGCGATGTGGATCTATAACAGTTAACAGTATTGAACATATGTCAGAGATGCTCCAACTGGAGGAAACACACTGATTATCAATTAATAACTCGCATTGGAAGGGATGCATTTGCTTCCCCTTCTCTTGAATATAAAATGTTGGTGGTGAAAGTTTCACAGTGTAGATTTGTATCTTATGAAATATCACCTGTACCCTGTATTTTTGCTTCATATTGTATTGCTTAAATGCGGGTTAGTGACTAAAAAACTGCTCATTTCAACTGGTCATTCCAGGTCAGATGTGTGTTGTGGTATCTTCCACCTCAGCATTGCAGTAAATAGTGTATCAAAGCACAAGTGGAAAACTGCAACACATGGCAGCAATCCAAGAAGATAATGAGACATACCGAATGCACAGTCGCACAATCGATCCTATTTACAAAAAGTGGGCAATATCTGTTACAGTTTCGTTATGAGTGTTTTAACCTCAAAATGTTACACTGACGGAAAGACAGTTATTGACAGTTTAAGCAGTTATTGAGTTATTTAGAAACTCTAAATTGATTTGTAAGTGTAACTGTTGTTGATTGTAAGACAATAAAGGAGGTAAATAGCAGCACTACTCACACTCATTTAAGCAATGTATATACTGTGTAGGGCTTAAGCATCAGCATCTTATTTCAGGGTCTGCCATCGCTGCCAAAGTATTTGTGGAAAGGCACAAGGAAGGCAAGAAACAGGTGTTGAACAATGACATTATCGATGAAAAGGGTCATTACTGAGATTTGCACTTTACTTAATGCCAAATATACAAGAAAGTCAAAATCAAGAAAATGTATTGTTAACAACATAAAGTTCTTGTTTTTGCAAATGAAACTTCAGAAATCAGTCTTGTTTTTATTGGCACCAATGTATTTTGGAGTGTATCTTATTGGCTTTGATAAGGGTCGCTATGTCCAAGGTCTTGAAGAAATTTCCCAATCCTCAGGACGTTGTTGTTTGTCATACTTCAGCTGAAGGTAAAACAAGAACAAATGTTGATATTAGGTTTTCACTAGATGATGTACAGTGATATAAAACTCTTCAAGCTTTTGTTGTCTGTGGTATTCCTGTTTTGTAATAATACTATAACATGGATTTTGATGTGAAAAAGATACGGTTTATTGCGTATGAGACTGGATGGATGGAAATGCTGTTACAGTGTACAGTTGTCCTGCTGGGGCACCAACAAACAAGAACAAAAGTTAGTGGAAAATGTAATTTTCCTCATATTTCTAACCCTGTTTGCTTTCTGTTATTTGTCTCTTGCAGTTCAACCGATGAGAAATTTCGCTGGAACAACCAAGGTAATATTTCCTCTTAAATGCACTTAGTACATTTTGTATGGTCCTTTTATTGTTTGCATTCCAGCACCACACATTGCTGACAGTGATTTTTTTACAATAGTGGGCACTGTAAAAACAAAAACAAAAAAAACATCTTGCACTAACAATATATTGATGCAATGTACTATGGTATCTGCAGCAGTTAAAACTCACTCTCTGCACCAAAACCCAAATAAAAAAGGCTTCTTCTTACAAAAAAACCTCTTTTCTCTCAAATCCCAGCATTTAGTTTAACCTGTTTGGAGAGCCAGATGGGAAGTGTTTTCCATAAAGTACAACAAGAATCAATGAGTGTGATGATTTGAAAGTCAAATGAAGACACCTCTCTGGGCTTGACAGCTTCTTTGACAGCATTTTAGTTGAAGAAACACCAGCCATGCATGACACTTAGGTCTCTCTATCTTCCTCTTTGTCAGTCATGTTGAGATGTATAGGGTGTTGAGAGTAGATTTATTATCTGAGTGCAAGGTCTCTGCCAACAAAGAGGTGACTGAAGGTTTGTGTTAAAACCATTTCATACTGAAGGCTTCCAGTGTTTGCTGTAGTCTTCATCCATCTGTTGCAACGAAGCCAGACCACTCGGCCTCAGAAAGACAAAATTAACTGTCATGAAAAAGGAAAACCCTCCCTCGCTCCAATCAGACTTTTTGATTTCGTCATCACTCACAAAATCATTAAAAACCCATCCCTTTTGGATCAATCAGGTTTAAAAATGAGTTTTAGCTTGTGTGTGTGTGAGGGTGAGAGGAAATCCAGAGTAATGCCGCAGACCGCACTGGAAATGTTTCATCAACAGCATCAACATCATCAATCTGCAGTTGTGTCAGACGAAGTCAATAAAATCAGCCTCCTAAATCCACTCACTAAGGCCTCTACTATTACCATCTCTCTCTCTCTGTCTCTCTCTCTATAAGAGATTAATGTTGCTCCTAAGGCTCATTTGTAAGGTTTTATCCCCCTTGGCAGCCCTCTCTAACTTGAAGACTGGGCATGTTATCAGCCTCATTCTGACAGACAAACGGCCTGGTGTCTAAGTACAAGGCGGTGCCCCATAGACCTAGATCCCACAAGATTTGTTGCTGGATTATCAGTTAGATTTTTACCCTTGACCCGGAGTTTACCCTTACACATTACTCTAAGGTCTAATCTAAATCAGTGGGGCCATGGCAGGATTACCAACCGGGAAAGGCAGGTAACTGTGTGGAGACTCCAAAGGCCTAGGTTTAATGTTGAAGTGTTGGTAATTTGAGGAAGTGCAGAATTGTGCTACAAATTCACAATATTAACTCAAATGGTCAAGGTGAAGATTATTACCTAATCTGAAGGCCCTGTTTAGTAGGTAAAAAAAATAACCTTTGGCTGTTTTTGTACAGCATTGTCACTGCAAGTCTTAGCAAGCGTGATATACATATCGAAATAAGTTAGGCTACTCAGAAACGCTGGTTTCCATTTGACTGAGTTATGACTCAATAACAATGTGCGATTTATGAGGCAGATTGTGTCAGTCAGGTTTTTATTATTTGAGTAAGCTTTTACAAGTTACAAATTAATGCCTCATACCACAAACCTTGGGCAGGACACTATCCCATCATAGAATCCCTGGTTGGTATCTGGGGCTCCAGGCAAAATATGATGAATGATGAAGCTGCCGTGTATAATCGCAGGAATACAGCCATGAGTGTAGCTTGAGTGCCGCAGCTGCACACAGTGTAGAAGTATGGAGCGACAGACCGGAGGTGGCAGAAGAAGCTGTGTCTTTGCGTCGAATCATGTTTTTTTCCCTATCTTGTTTGTACACATGTAGATGGACAGAAGGACATAGAGGAGGAGCTGACAACAGGCCTGGAACTGGTGGACTCTTGCATCCGATCACTCCAGGAATCCGGCATCTTGGACTCGCAGGACACTTCTACAGGAGACAGTAAGGCTAATGTTAGGATAGCTTAGAAGAGAGCAATCAAAGGCCTGCGGAAATGGATATTCTGCAATGCCAGACTGTACCATAACACAAGTGAGCAACATGGCACTGAAAAGAGCGTGTTCAGTCCTTAAATAGTAAAAAGAAGACAATTAGATAAGTTTTTTAATCAAGCCTGTTAGATCGTTGTGTTTAAATGCGTGCACTAACTAGCAAGTTCTACTCAAAGGCTGAAGAAGATGATGTCTTTCATTAGATTTAGTCACATTTTGTTACAAAATTAAATCATTTTCAGTACTAGTGCATAAGAGTGGTGAGCCACAATATCTATAACACTTGTCTGTTAGTGTGTCCAGCATAATTATATCTTTCCTTGGATTTCCTATTGATGAGATTTCTTTTTCTGAGGCTTACACATCTAAATAAATCCTCCAGAAGATGTTTCCACGGGTTTGGGCTACTGGACAAGACCAAATGCAAAAGCTTTCATAAGCTGGATATAGCCTGAACTAGTAGTCGGCAAAAGCAAAGCTGAACTTTATTTATCTTGTAAAAAGGTATAGGCTATATTATTTCCTTAAATTATATTGGAATTCCATAAAGCCATCATTGCCGAGGGAGGGGGGTTAAAGGAAGTGCTAGTGCGCTTGCTCCTCTGAGGCCACACCATGCGGAAGCTGTGAAAGATCTGGGTAAATTTATACCCGGAAGCCACTGTGCAGCTTTCATAGAAATGAACGGAGCCCCGTATCCAATTCTCTTTATACATCCATGCCCTGAATGCATAGCAGAGACACTAAGGGATACCGTATCTCCCAAGGTGGAAATTTACACATCCATCAGACTTTGCAACATTAGCATTCATTTGAAGCCATGTTAGTGGATAGTCCAGTATTTACACTCTCTACTCTGTTTTGGTCTCCACTAACTTCTGAGGGAAAGGTCCAGCAGAAAAGTCTCCAATTTAGTCTGCCATTTGGTGCTGAGCAGGTAGGGTACAGTGTTTATTTCAGAGCTTTCTTTACTGAGAACAGCTGCCTGCTGAGGCTTAAAACAAGACTTATGACAGCGGTGAGACTGAACTACTACATTAATGTTTCGGACCTAAAAGCAAAGGACTGTACAGAGCACTTTAGAGTTGGGTGATAATTAAGTGAGTGACTCCTTTCACATTTAACATGGTTGTTTGATCCTTAAAATTTAAAGTTAAAATGAATGTATTGATTAGCACAGCTTGAAAAAGCCTTCACAAAAATGGTTACTAGACACTAAGAGAGAGAAAAATTATCAATTAAAATGTTTCACTGTTGTATTGGTATTTTAAATCCATACTGCAAAGCATTTGTTTATAAGAGCTCTCAGTGAGATCCTGAACAACTCCGTGTAGCTCACTGCTCCACTCATCTTTTTTCATTCGGTCCCATGGATGATACCCATGTCTCTTGTATAGTCGACCCCATGGGAGAGAGGTAGCTGTCAGGAGACATGTGGAGTCGGGCCAGTAGTTTGATATGCTAATCCATCCTCGCTGAGGTGTCAGCTGGCCTGCTGTTCACAGTGCAGAGAGGGGAGGCACACACACACACACACACACACACACACACACACATAATGTCTATGTGTCCATAAATATGCACACATAGACAAGCATGCATATAAAATCACACACAAGTGTGCACGCATAGGCTGCTCATGCACACATGCTATTATCACTGTGCACTCACAGACACACATGCATGCAGCACGAGGAATGGTAATTTTGTTTGATGTTTTTGATGTTTAAATAACAGTTATGTAACCAACCACCCGACTAGTCAAAAAAAGAAAAGAGAAAAGAACGAACGTGCAAGCAGGCCAGCACATCCACTGTGTTGAAGCCGGTCCTGGATGCTAGATTAGCGGCTCTGTCTTGCTCTTTATTGGATTTGGGGAAGTTTACACTCCAGCTTCCCCAACCAGTCTTACCCAAGATATTGTTGCATTTGCCAAACAGGGTTAGTCCTCATGCTAAAAGCTTTTCTCTTGTAACATCAGAAGTCAAAAATACTATTTCAAACAGGGTTCTGAAAAGTAATCTTTTATTTTTTTGTTGATTGTACTTAAAATATTATCCCATCCAAAGACCTTTAATTAGGATTCTCTTTTTAAAAGAGTCAGTTAGTTGATAACATCTGCCAGTTAATGTTGTCATTTCAGCTGGAAAGATTTACAGTTGGGTAGAAATAGGAAGCTACCTCTGTCTGGAATCAAGAACCCATTGTTTCTGAAATTTTGGAGAATTTATTTGCCAGTGAACATTCAATTGATTGATTTGTTTCATTGGGGTTAAAAAAACAGAAGCAAAAAGGAGCAGGTGGTCAAATATATAGAAATTACTTAACACACCAAATGCCAAATGAAAAGAAGCATTATACACGAGAAGTAAGCATCTACCTGCAACGCAACACACACACACACACACACACACACACGCGGCAGCAGAATACACTAAAGCAACAAAGTACATTGAGTGTCTTCATGCTAAGTGCTGGTGATGCTCGCCAGTGTGCATGTTAATCTGAGTGTTTATGACTACGCTGGATGCAGCTATTGAGGACTGTGCATGCGGTTTTATGTGCTTGTGTGCATGTAGCAGACTGCGCATGCCTCCAATCTAATAATAGACTCATAAAATATTAAAATGTGTCAATAGAGAATGCTGGTCATGATGTGGAAGAAAAGCCACTCTTTGTGTGTGCATGACAGAAGATGAAATGAGTGAGCCGGAGCAGGTCTATCAGGGTCAGACCGTCCTCGACTGCACGCATGCAGGTATATGTAGTGTGTTCAGGCATTCTGTCATGGAGAAGGAGTGAGATATGTGTGTGTTTCCACTCAAACAAAATGCACAGGCAGAGCCCTTCTTACGGCACCCTATTACTTTTCACTAATACACCCCTACCTCTACACACACACACACACACACACACACACACACACACCTCAAATGGATTCAGTGGAGCCTTCAGTGTTTGCCATCTGAGTGATAATGTATTTATGAGGCCCTTTGCTTCTCAAAAGGCTTCACTACCCATATGAAACACACCTAAAGTGGCAAACAAAAACTGTGGAAAACATCCCCCGGCTTTGTACATGCACATGTGGGCCTGTGTGCATGTGTGTGTGTGAGAGTGTGTGAATCCATCTGAAACAGGCCTGGAGTAGGAATTCTTCCTTTTTTATAATGTGTTTTTCAATTCCTATGTGTGTACGTGTGTGTACTCACCCAAGATGAGCCTATATTGGACACAGAGGCCTTGACCTAGTAAACTCACCCAGCACCCTTAGCTTAATATCACATTTTAAATCATTCACGATCACCAGCTACACTGCCTACAGGAGCCATTCGCTGTACTTTAAAGTGACTTTTCACTTCGCTCAAGCTTTATTTTCCAATGTGCTTATCCATTGTGACTCCATTTGCCCGTTAGCTGCTGACTTTATCTGTGCCATGTTGACTCCTCGCACGCTATGATTTTTCATTCTCTCTTGTTTAATGATCCCAAACAACCAGAGTTTCTTCTTTTCTTGTGTGCTGTTCTTGGTTTGACTTGTAGACTGCTGGCAAAAAAATGACATCAGTGGACATTAAAGGCACTGTTGATGGGAAGCTAAACAACGCTTTTCAGAGTACAAACACTGAGCGCTAAGAATTTATAGGTCTATTTAGAGCTGACATAATGCAGTAAAGTCATATTCTAGTGCTGTGAGTTGCCAGAAGGGCATACGGATGTAGCAGTTTTAAAAGTGGATGGAGGATGTGTGGACTGTATATGCATTGCAGCAAAATGCTACTGGGGAACATCATGTTTTAAGTAACATTTTAGATTTTTTTTTTTTTCTGTAATTAAAGTCACTGATGAGGCACATCATTGCTATCATCACCAAAAGTGAATTAATCAAGGGTGCACTGAAAATTTGACAGGATTTAAATAAGAGCGATGGAAGTGTACACGCACAAGCAGCTCCTGCCTTCCTGTCCTTCAGTATACTTCAGACTTTATGGGCCATCCAGGCAAATTCAGAGTTTACAGTCTACAAAACATTCTACAAATGCTTTGTCATTATGTTTCATGTGCGTGTGCTGTCATTTACACACAGCCTGTTTGTGTTACATCTCACAGTCTATGTATTCTTGCTAGAAATGAAATGATCCTTGTGCAAATCACAAGACTGCAAACTGCCTCAGAAACATAAATGAGGCTGTGTGTAAAATTAGCAATGAAACGTTTTATCAGATTACGCTTTGGCTAAATGTGTGTGCGTATGAGTGTGTATTCATAGTCCGTCTCTACTGTGAATCCACTGCTAATTAGTCATGGTGTCATCCATCAATTAGTGTACAGTTTTGTTACCACAAAGATCTGAACATTTGAAAAGTTTCACAACAAAATGACATTATACCCACTTCCTGAGGCATCTAAGACATTTGTTCATCATTCATTTGATAAGTGCAAGTCTGATTCAAGAACTGAGAAGTTACCATTGACTAAACAGACTTAGTGGACCTCTGACTTACCACTGATTAAATGGCTGACCAGCTGCTAGCTCAGTGGTAGCTCACTGTCGGTTTGGTCAGCTGGAGTCTGGCCAACTGATCTTTGGTAGATTTTGGATGAAAGCCTGAATGTAGAAGTGGAAGAGTAAGAGTTGTGGTAATTGAAAACGGCACCACTGGAAGGTTTTACACAGCAGTGTATCAGTGATTCTCACACTTTAATTTTTACTGCAGTTGACAGCTGACATTACAAAGTAAAGAAGGTGTGTAATGAGTCATTGCATTCACAAAATGACAAAAACACATCACAAATGTATGAACTTCTAAAGGCTTTTCTTTATTTCTTACTATCCATAGTGAGATGACAACTGCATTATAGTTTAAAGGTATGGTGAAGATGATATCAGCGTATTTTCCTGTTACTGGATGTCTAATACTAGTATTATTATAATACATTATTGACCAAGAGACATGGCAGACTACACATTGGACCTTGACCCATCTTGATCAATCATCATTAAACAAACAATTTTGGTTTTTTTGGGGGCTATTTATGAACTTTTTTCAGCTATATCCAGTATTTATGCTAAGCTAAGCTAATCAACACCCAGCTGTAGCTTCATATTTAACAGACAAGTAGACCAGTGATATCAATCTGCTTTCCTAACTGTTAGCAAAAATCTAAACTATTTCTTAAACTATACTACACTTTTTTAAACACAAAGGCACAAATTACACTCTTAACTGAGAACTGTGATGATATGGAGTAAAGAAAGCGAAATACTTGTAGGAGAGAGCGATGAAGGATGTGATAGTGCAGAGAGAGTGAGAAAAGAAGACGGAGAAGGAGTGCGTTTTAAATGGAGCTCAGGAACAGAGTGAGATTTCAGGGTCACAGAGCATGAGCGTAAAAGAGTGCAGAGAGGCTAGAATAACATAGTAGGTAAAAAGCAAATGGATGTCTCCAAAAAGAGGACTAGGAATTCTATTTTATTCTATTTTAGCTTTCTTCTATTTCTTCTCTTCATTTCAAGGTCTGTTGTAAACTGAACCAGTAATATTTGTTGTATTCACATTCATTCTTTTCCCATGAAAAAAAAGAATTACATTGGATAACATGTGGGATGTAAACTGGGTTACAAAACGCCTTCAAGGCCATGAGCAGAATAAATCTTTACACAAAGATGGACTGTTACAGAAGTAAAAGTTGCCTGAAAACACTTACATAAAAGCATCATGACAGAAGTGAAACCAAGTCTTAAAGGGGCTTTTGACAGGGATCAAAAAGTTAGTTTCAAACCATGACATTACCTCACTTGACATCTCTCCAAACCCTCTTGGGTCTTTTTTCACAGAAAATGCAGGATTGATTGAATTTACACAAAAGAAATGCCACCAATCAAAAGCCATCAAGTATTTCTCCACTGAATGATCACATCGTTTCATGTTACTCATTGTCCTTTAATACTTTCCCACTTCTTCACTTTTTCTTTTTCCCCATCAGGACAAGGACTTCTGTCCCAAAGTGCTTTGCAGCTCAACAACCAGGATGCTTATGCAGCAGCTGGTTATCATAGTAACCAAGGACTGGCACTTGGGGAATCGATCACAGGCCGCAGCGGGCAGGTTGGAGGGGCTGTTCACATCTACAACCAGGTACACACAGACCTTTATTTTTGTACATTGGATCAGAGGCCTTCTCCCTCAATGTTATCTTTATCTTCTTCCCTCTTGTATCTTTATCTTCTTCCCTCTTGTATTTCAATCTTTCTCCACCCCTCTGCTTCTTTATCCTTCCTCTCTCTATTCACGTTCACATTCACACACTTTGTTTGTCCACTCTCCTGCCTCCTCCCCCCCGATCTTCCTTCAAATTCCATTTTTCCATTTCTCCTTCTCCTTACTTGCTGCCTGACCCCTTTTCTCCACACTCTTTCCTCTCTAGGTGACATCCAGCCGTGCAGCTGCCCACTTGGTGGGAACAGACTCTCCCTCCCAGTCCCAGAGAGACTCATTTGCCCAGCAGGCCCATGGCAGCGCCTTCCACATGCCCACTGAGGGTGGATCCGCACCTGCTGGACCACCCATGTATTACTCCTGTGCCACTTTGCCTGCACAGGTACAACTCTCTCAAGAGATTATTGTAATGATTCAGTTGTCATCTGACGGATGCTTTCTCCACTCCTCTCAGTAGTACACTATTGGCGAAATCCTTAACGCTGCTATAACTCTGGTGGAATCAAGGAGCAGGTGGAACCAAAGAGCTTTAGAGTACTCTGGGCTTGGTTTATTGATTGTATAATTCCTTATATATTGAGTAAATCTTTTGGTTTAGTTCATCTTTGGTTGTAGATGTTTTTCAGACAGTTATTAGAAAGGCATTAATAGCACAAATACACCTCCCGAACTTATTGTCCAGTAAGAGACTGATCTAGCAAGCTTGCAAACTGTCAGTTGGAAAGCTTGCTAGCTTGTAGAGCTTGCTTTATTCCTTTTCATTAACTCTTAAATTAATTAAAATGTACTTAAGCCTATGAACAAAATGCCAAAGGGGAGTAACTGTTAGATGGCCCGTTAGAGAGAGAAAAGAAAGAAGCTTGTGTTGTGACTAACAAGCGTTAGCATGGTCTCAGCTTGCCAGCATGTTTGTTGTTAGTTAGCCAGCTTCATACTTCATCAGCTAACCCTGAAAGTAGTCCCTGTGTGACGAAGCCTCTAGCACCACCTATTTTGCAAGGACACGTGGATGAACTTAACAGTACATGCAAGTTACAGATAACAGAATTTCCTACCAACATACACTCTGTCCTAATAGAGTGAACTCGCCCTTAGACAAATTAGTCTTGACTTGCAGAAGATTACACCCCTCCACTTTTTCTAGTGAACTACTTCACCACCAAAGTATTAGTTCAACTTGTGGCAGATGATGAGTGCTTTAAACACTGCAAACATGTTGTCTCAGTGCATACTGCTGTGGAAGTTGATCTGCACCGACTCTTCATTGAACCTAAATTACTGCTCACGTGGAAGAAATAGCTTATCCTGCATCTTTCTTGCAATTAGTACAATGGGTTTATCAGATCTGCAAGCAGTTTTGCTTGTAGAGTTGGTTCAGCAGTGCAGCCACAATGCAGCAAAATTGTATTTCAGGCCTCTTAGGTGATGATTTACTCTTTTATTGCTTCTTTTGCTGCACTGCGATGAATTCTGGGCTCAGAGTTTAGGATTATAAGAACATCATGTTAATCATGTCTTTGGATTTATTAAAACAGTTTTACCGGCCCACTGTATCCTCGGCATTCTTACTTTCGCACGTCTGTCCCACACTCATTTAAATTAATGGAGTGTTGAAATTGTACGTTTAGCTATGTAACTGCAAGACCTTGCAAATATTTCTTCAACTTATTTCCCCAGTTGGAACAAAATGAAAATGCATTCATTTGGCGGCCCATTGCTCGCAGTCAGATTTCAAGTTCATTCGGTTATAAAAGTTCAGAGTCATCCCTTCATGTTTGGTCTGATAACTCCAAGCTCTTCATCAGGATGTTATCACAGATTAGAGTCTCTGCTCTCTGGTTTTCCAGCTCCGGGGGGAGTTGTTCATGTCTCTGAAAATAATGATTTGAATAAGATGAGTAGATGAATATTTAAAGTGAGTGACATTCCCCTTTAATGAAGTACAACTCCTCTTTTACAGCGTGTGAGCTCCCCTCTGCAGGCGGTGGGATCTCCTACCAAGCTGCAGCGCCTGGGATCAGCCTCCTCTGACATGCCCAGCTATGCCACACTACAGAGGGTGTCCTCGCCCAAACAGTCACCCAGCCGACTCGCCAAGTCTTACAGGTTGGTTCAACTTCAGTCTGACCAATTAATTTAATAAGGGCTCATTGTTAGAAACACAGTAATTTCACTGGTTCAAATGCACAAAAGAATGTATCTGCAGGGGGTCGATATAGTTTAATGCCAGTGACTCAAACAATTACTTCACCTGGTGCTGAGATTTCTGGCTTTGAAAAAAACTTTCTAGCATGTAGTCTGTTTCACAACAAAAGAAATCAGCTTGGATAAGTAATGCAAGACTTCAGTGCTAATATTTTAGTAGTGTTTTACATCGTATTTTATCATACCTCAGCCTGCCAGCCTTTGACTTTGAAAGCATTGGGGTCGTTTCTGCAACTGGTCTTCCTAAAGTTTTACCCTGCCCCAGACAAATGAAGGCCCTGCTCATAATGGTCTACAGAGTTCTGTGGTGTGAGTGGGGAGTTTGGTGCACAACTAATGACCAATTAATCTTTGATGAAGCTCCTGAAGCACAGTTTTTACTATACATTGAAAAAGACATGCAGTGTTAAACCCCCTTAATAACATAGCAGATTGCTGGTGGGCCAGTCATTATGAGCTCATGCTGTGTAGCCAAATGTTGTTTAAACCAAAATAACTTTATTTAAAATCCCAAAATGTCCATTATGTGTCTGGATTTTGGGGGAACATGTATAAAGTGATGCACACTGATGCATTATAGATGCAGAGTGATGCATCTATAATCTATTTGACTGAACTGTACAGACAGTCTTGGGTTTGAATATTTCACTCAATGTAATATTGCATAGTTTTAATAAAAAGCTGGAATATGCTGATAGAGAATATATATGATACTGTCAGTGTGGAAAAAAGTCAGATTTATAGTTCCTGCATCCTGTGATTAAATGTTGCCTTTTGTACAGTCTGCGTGCAAAAGACCACATGGACAGTATATGCAGACTGTGCTACAACAATGCGACAACGCAATACAAAGACAAATTTGCACGTTTCCGCTCTCACTTTCTGAATTAGTTTTTGACCTACGATGAAGCGAACAGCCTTTATGCTACTTAGGGGAAAACAAAAAAGGGAGAATGGTATGTTACAGGGGTAAGAAAGCACATCAGCAATTTAGTGTTAGTAAAGTAAAGGTGACATACGAGAGACCGATTCATATAAAATTGTCCAAAATCCAAACAGAAGGGGCAGAGATATACTTGTTGTGCCTATTATTATCCGGAGGTACAGAAGACTGAATGCCACAGTTTTCACTGGCTGAATAGTACTACCCACAACTAGTAAACTGGTATTGAGTTAAATCATTTATGGTCTTAGTCTTTAATGGGTATTAGTTTGCTATCATATTATTCTGGGAAATGTTTATTCAGGACACAGAATTACACTGTGACAAAACTACCAACCAAACCTTTCCATTTTCACCTCCTGCAGCACCTCATCGCCCATCAACATGGCCGCTGGCTCGTCCTCCCCCCTCTCCATGGCAGCCTCCCCAGGGGGCAACCACACCTCATCGCCCATCCACCAGCTGAGCTCAGTGGTGGGCAGCTACGCCACCCTGTCGCCCACCAAGCGGATGCTGCATCACATCGGAGCAGACAGCTACAAGATTTCCCACGAGCTGTACGCCAACGCAACCCTGCAAAGGCCTGGTAGCCTGGCAGGTAGAGGTCAAGACAATTTTATTACTTTTTTATGTGTGGATGTATGAAATGCCATTGTGCCATAAATGTTTTAAGGAATTGTCCACTTTACATGTATTTTGTATATATCTAGTTATTCAAACTTCAACAATTGTTACTGTTTAATTGACAGGACTATTTTTAATTTTTAAATACAATTTAGTCTGAGATTATGCATTGTGGGGTTTCTTCATCCTTCAGTAATATGGCATTTCTGAGGCAGTTCCATTATGTTCATGATAGTTAAGGGTCACATGAATCCACTTTCCATTGATGTCTATTTGGTATTCATCAGGATGCCATCAGCACAAGCATCCAAAAGAAAACACATATTACCAAATATTTAATTAAATTGGCTTGAGGTTTTATAAAAAATGTATTAGATTGCAAATGCAGTCATGAATGTCTGAACAATTTGTGAATGAGATTTGTTGTCTGGAAACAGTTTAAAGTGCCAGATTTGCTTTGGGCTTTTCAAAAGGTGGACTTGTCATTTTGAAATGTATCTTTTATTTACTTGAATTAAAATGTGGTTATGTCAAATATTAGGCAATTTATTAAAAGTATTTTACAATTGCATGGTTTTGATCACAAATTAAATGGCTATCCTGATTTTGTAAAGCGGAACATCACAACCCAAACACACTTTCATGCCAAATGTCACATTTTTACATCACAATGCAAAGTCGCCATGGGAAGGAAAAAGGGGCCAATCAGCAGTATTTTTCAGGTTAATCTGGTGATTGTGTTCATGGCAAGTAAAATGATCACAACATAACCTTTCTATAAATGTGTTTTAAGACCAGATTGACTTACTTGGCCTACATGTAATTTGATTGTTCCCTAGTTTGTCATTTTTCTCTCACTTAGTGAGAATATAGTTATCCATCCATGTCAGTATATCTAACCGTAACATTTCCTGTGCTTCCCAGGATCCAGAGGTTCCTATAGCAGCCAGCACAGTCACCTGGGCTCTGAGCTACGACCTCTGCAGTCTCCTGAACACCACATCGACCCCATCTACGAAGATAGAGTCTACACCAAACCCAACCTTAGAGGACAAGGTGAGCTGAGATGGGAATATGGAGGCTGGGTAAAATAAAGACGGGGATTTATTTAAGGCGTAAAGGGGAATCTACAAATACAGAGTCTACAAATCTGTCTCCCAGAGGGCCAGTGGAGTAGATAGTAAAAAGGCAAACATTTGACAGTAGAGTGGAAGGGGGGTGCACAACATTTTTACAAAAGATATAGTGGTGAGGCATATTAGCAGCTTTGCAACTCAGGTATTTATGTAAATGTTAAAGATTATATGTGAGGGGAAAGATGTGTGAGGAGGATGAGGAGTGGTAGGGGCTAGAATGTATAATGGGTCAGCGGATGACACAATGTAAACAGAAGGTTTTAGAAACAAAACAAGAAAGAGGAGATAAGTTGGAAAAATGGGTATCATGTTCTAAAAGGCAGCCTTTATACAGTTGTTCCTAATTATTATCTGTGGTAAATAAATAATTCACTTTATTGATCAAATAGAAACAGTTAATAAGACAAACTGTTGGATTGTCAGGTTGTGAAAAAGCTCCTTCCTGGGTCATTCATAAAAAAGGCATTAATAGTGTTAGGATATTCCCACTTTCTAGTAATCCATCAAGCCAGAAGTTAATGTTAGGAATTGATTCAAGGGTCATGAGTTTAATTCTCTAACAAACCATAACTTCTGCCATTACAACTATTAATAAAGTCATAAAATAAGAATATCAAGGGTTTTGCTGTTTAAGAAACAGCAAAAGGCAGTAAGTCACCTGCAACTATAAATGTTAATAAGTCATTAATAAAGGGTTCTTACAATAATTGGTCATTCATTAAACTCCACATAGGGAGTACTACTCAACCTACGAAAAACGGTTGTTTCTTTTGTTCTGAAAGGAGAAGTCTGAGAAAATAGTTAAAAGAAACCCTTTTGTACATTTAAGGAATATGTTGTTTAGTTTTGAGGATTGTGGGAAATGTAGGAGCAAGTGTTTTTTGGAGCTTGGCCTCTTGTAAGCTTCTGAACTTTGTGGAATTGCAGCACTAAATAACTAAAGTTCCCGTTTATTAGCTATCTATAACGACAAAAGGAAGTGTCAAGCTGGAGGATAAACACCAGGCAAAAGCATTTTCATACCTGGCAACCCAAAAGCATTTGTAAACGATTGTTAACAATTTATAAAGCCATTAGTTGATTGGAGTAGATTAGAGCGCAACTGTAAACACAGAAATGTGCTTCAAATAGTCCAAATTTATAAATAGCTGTAAATCACCATCTGAACCATCTAAATTTAAAAATCAGTGAGTAAAAGAAGACATCACATGATACATTAAATCAAATTGATTGATCAAAGAAATACTGGACAGCAATACTGAGTGGTAAAACAAAAAAAGACAGTCTGGTCCAACTTAGAACGTTAGTAATTTTTTGGTAGTGCTGTGTTATTATAGACTGCTGTACATAAGATATTTTCTCATCCCATCTGATCATGTAGCGCTATTTACCAGATCAGGTGGGCAAATCCAATTGGGGTCTCAATGGCAATTTGTCTTTCAGTCACAGTCTGTTAACTAATTAGTTTCAAGGCTGAAAATTAATCTCAATTAATCCCATGGGCGTTAGCTTGGGTGCTTTGAAATCAAAGCAAATCAACCGTGTCCTAAAATGTTGCTGTAAAGAGAAATACACAGAGAGAGAAATGTGAAAGAAAATCTCTTTATTTTTTCTACTAGTTCCAAGAAAAGATTCACCCTAATAATTAAAATATCTGAGGTGGTGTTTGTCATGCTGGCTCTTGCTGCATCAGAATAACTCAATCATCATCTCCAGCTTTGTGTCTGTGAATGTAAGTCCAAGGGCACCATTGTGTTCATCAAATCCTGTATTTTTGTTTTTTTACATTGCTTTTCAGCTCAAATAGTTTCAAGATAACTTTACGCCTGACTTCACATCACAGGTGAATTTCCTCAGGCCTTGTCAAGATCCCTGCAGTTAGTTTGTCACACACACACACACACACACACAGACTGACGCAGCTCAGCTCCCTTAGAGCGAGCCGGTGGAACCGCGCTGACCATCATGCCCACATGGTTCCTGAACTGCTGTTTAACAAGGGGACAATTCCTCTTTCTGTTGGAGACTGACACAGGGGGTCACTGGTCTGCGTTTTCCGGTGTCCTGATGTCTTTACAGCAAGACTGGATTACCAAGTGGGCAACTTCACTGGGGCCCCGAACCCTCACTGTATGGCAATTAGTTTGTGGTGCTTTAAGTAAGATATTTGGTAGTTGGCCCCACTAAAGCAGAATATGAACAGAAATGTATAATAAAAAAGAGCTTTTAAAGGAATAGTTCAACATCTTTGGAAATACTCTTATTCACTTTCTTGGTGAGAGTTATATGAGAAAATATACCACTATGATGTCTGCATGCTAAATATTCAGTTACTGCTCGCTGTTGGTCAGCTTAACTTAGCACAAAAACGGGAAAACAGCTATCCTTACTCCGTCCTTGCACCGCAATGAACAGTGAGTGGGGACGAACGTGGGTTCATAGGGTGCATAGCTCATTTTTGCCCCTGGGCCATCCTGGCAGTTTGGTAACCCCCGTAATCCTGCTGTGCTTTAGCAGAAAATAAGTTTTACAGGTGCCTGTAAGATTAATGTGTCAAATATGAATTCTCTTTTCTTTCTTTTTTTGCATGTCTGTTTGATTTGATTGCTTCTGTCTGTTGTTTTTGTGATTATATGTTTCAAATGAAAAATGAGATTATTTGATGAGTTCACCCACCTGTTGTAAGTTGTAACTATGAGAGTTTTATTTCATGACTTTTTATTTTTGCTTCCTCCTTTCTGCTTTTTTCTTCTGTGCTGTTTTGTTCCATTGGTGCTGGTGTTGTTGCTTTTATCTCATTGTGTGTGTACGTGCATCCTTGTGTTGGCGCTTGTGTTTGGTTGCAATTTCTTCTTCACCAACTCCCCTCTTCGACTACATCAAACCCAGTGGTGAACCAATTGTACCAAGAGGTCCTCAACTATCTGCTCTGTCCCTACGCCCCTCTTCCTGCTTTAGCCCCGCCTTCCCCCGGTGTCGACCCAATCCCCTTGCAGCGAACAGGAAGCCAAAGCGCCACGGCCACCTTTCAAAGAGGCAGCTTTGCCGCAGGAGGCGGGGCAGCTGACTACGCCAACCCGTACCGCACTCTGCAGTTCTGCCCATCCACCGAGTCGCCTTACAGCAAGTCGGGCCCTGCCCTCCCCCCTGAGGCTGCCCTAGGCCGGTCTCCATCAGTGGACAGCATCCAGAAGGACCCAAGGTGAGGAAAAACATTTATTTAGAATCGGCTCTGGCTTGTTGATGAAGCCCCTTGTTCCGCTCCCTTTCCACTTTCACTGAACTTACTGAGGGCCAGATTCACCAAGTTAAACACAATTATGCGAGAAAGTGTAAATCACATTAATACCTTGGAGGCATTAGGCTTGAACAGTGGGGGGAAAAAAAAGAGTGTAATTGCAATCCACAAAAGAGTGTCAAAGTTGGAAGTGTAAAACAGTGACACAAAACAGTTTGTAGCACCTCAACTGATAATTGACTGTCAGGATTTGACGCTTCAGTGCAGTAAAGGGCTGGCTGAATCTGGGCTTTAGTATGAGGCACACATCACGCCACATCTTTCACTGTCCTCTCTAGTTTGCCTGGTGTTGGGGCTTGTTCACACTGCCATATGAATGCCTGGGCACATCCCTAGTGCCAATTTAAAAGTTTGCTATCGCTGTTAAGAATGGAGCACCTCTCTGTCAGTGGCAATCAGTCACATTATGTGCAGTAGGTAGACAGAGTAAATGTGGAAAGTGCATGAAGTCTGCTTTTAGACCAAGAGAGCTCTGTGTACGAGCGTGGGTGTGTGAGAATGAGGGAGAGAGAGAGACATTGACAGACAGACAAAAAAGAGTAAGAGAGACGCATACAGAGACAGCTTAATAGCTGTTTTTTTAATCATGCTTTTGTCCAAGTAATGTCCAAGTAACAATCAAATTTGAAATACCATTCCAATATAATCTTGGATTTTTCGACTGCACAGACTATACTGTTGGTGATAGAAGCAGCCTAATTAAAGTTGAATTTTCTCCCTGTGTGACATTTCAGCTCAGGTGTAAACAGGAGATGTGTTTTTCTACTCCAATTTAATATTTCTAATGAGGAAGTCACTTTGTGCTGATCTGCTTATTAAGAGTGTCTTTCTGTGTCGTTCTTGTTGTTTTCGCCATTGCTCTTTCCTCCACCCATTGTCCAAGTGTTTCTTTCTCTTTGCACATTGCACTCACATTGTCTGTTTGTTCAATCTTTAGCTCCGGCATCATTGTTGTGTAGCTTCCAGCATCCACACATCTGCGCTGCTACATGTAAAGGACTGACTTGTGATGCATGGCATATTGCTTTACCTTCACGACATGCATAGTCTACGTCAGTGCTAGCACTTTCTGAATAAGACAGTGCTTTTTGAGTAGCTTGTTGTCCACATTGTGTTAAAGGGAGGGTCCCCCAAGATGATCCTGTCATGTTTTACTGTTTACAAGCTCTCTGCTGTTCCTGAGGTTGAAAGAGGAATTGTACGTTATTATATATTTACTAATATTTGTGTCAACAAATCCCATCAAGAGACCAGAACCAACAGTGGACAGTGTCAATCTGTCAATACTTTACGGCTTACCTACTGTGTCTGTGGCACTCACGCCCAAGCCCATTTGTTCTTTCGGAAGATATATTCAAAAATGGGTCTGGATATGTAGTTTAATGAAGAAGAAAATGGCTGGGCTCTGTAGTTTTTAGTACACAAACAGGAGGAAATAGTGTAGTTCTTGGGGACTTCTTTCAACTGTGGATTCATCTGAATTTGGTGCTATTATTGGTATATGTGGTATTGAGATAAACTACAGTGCCCATGTTCATCAGTGTAACGGTGTAGCTCATTGAGTTGGTTTTTTTTCTAGAGAACAATGGTCTATTGCACAGATAAAAAAGATATATCAGGTTTTAGCTACTTATAAATAAATATACTTATAGAGTCTATATGATATACAGAAATACTTGTTGATAGGATCAAATAATTGTTGGTTTTGTTTTTTTTCATGGAATTTGTTGACATAAAGAAAAATATCGACTATCACCTGCCTCATTCTTAAAATACACCCAGTTTTTTGGATATTGGACAATCCACATTCCTTCACATAAAATTTTTCCAACATGCTTGACTTACGCTTATCTATGCATAATCAGTGAAGCTAAAGATGAACTGTAGCTTCAAGTTTTTATTTAAACGATTCAGGTGAGCAGCCATTTATTTATTGTTTCAAGGTGGGAAAAAGGAGTTGCTAAACATATACATGTAGATATTTTGTATCTTGTTTTAATTTTACCCACACATAACAGGCTAAGCAGCTTAGCGTGTCATTTACTCATCATTTAGCTTCTCTGGTATAATTCCTGCTTTTCTAATGTACCGCTAGTCACTTTCAATCACAAACAAAAATAATTTAATAACTACACATCAATGATTTAGTCATCAATGTTTTCATTCAACAGCTAAGTCTAACAGGACTAACCTATATATAACCTATATTCCTTTTTAACAGGACGACACAGATGAGAGAACAGTATTTTTATATATAAAGCATATTCATACATACTGTATACCGTTGTAAAATAATCTAGGTTTAGTAAGGATGTTGAAGTAAGGTCTGTACTGTGCACAGGACATGACCTTGTAAACTCACTGGTCATTTGAAGCATACAGTAAATTATCATGCTGTCTGAAAATAATCTCATAATTGGCTCTTTAATTTAGATCTGAATGTTTAAAAAATGCTCCAATATCCAGATTTGGTGCATGATTATGCACAGAATAAGACGGTACCAGACCCTCTCTTTATCCGACATATCCACCATCTCCCCACCACCTGCTCTAAGTGCATGTCCTTCACCCAGCCCACCTTGTCCACCATTGCCTGATCAAATGTTGAGAGAGAAAGACGAGTCTAGTGACTACATATGGATTTCTATTTATTAATCATCACTATTATGACGGTTATTGATTAATTTGTTGCCAGACAGCCAACAAATACCTCTCTCTTGTTTCTCTCTGCCTGTCCCCCCTCGATAGGTACGACCCCGAATTCCTTGTGTGGAATCAAAATCAAGCCGAGCAAAGAATGACAAAGTAATCCAACTATTTATTTGTACATTCACACAAATCACATTCTGTCTATCTATCTTACCTTTGTCTCATTCACTGAATCTTTCCATCTTCTCTATATGACACCAATATCAGACGCAGATGTTAATGTTAATGGCAGCATGACATTTCCCATTTGTATTGTCACTCATTTAGTGCTTTATTAAACAGGCATTTTAGCATTTTTGGATTCTAAATTGGAGATGCGATCAGACTACTTTGCATTTTATCACGGCATTGTGTAACATCAGAATGGCATCCTCTGTGACCTGAAAACACCGAAAGAAATAAATTAAGTCAGTTTTATACATAAATTACAAATTTAAGTAACTAATGATCAAGTGCTGATTGCTTATTTGCAATTTGTAGCAATATGGCTTATTAGAACCTCTGTTTTTTATAGTGTTAATATTCCTCATTCTCTCTTTTGACCTTTCAGCTATCCACCCATCTCTCCATCCATTTATCTATCTGTTGATTTATTTGGTCACTCATTTGTCTCCATTGTCTGTCCTGTCTGTCCTGGTAATTTCCGAAATGTGCTTTGTGACAGTTCATTCATGTGGCTTGCCCGTTGTTAAGGTTGACACCTGATTTTGGTTTTTGATTCAATGGTATTGATTTTCTAGTCTCCGCCATACTGCGAATAAGCGTCTTTGCCAAAATGTTGAACATCTCGAGGAGTATTAAGATGACAAGAATCTTGCACAGATAGCCTATCAATATGAAAAATGTCCAACTTAAAGAGGTCATATTATGCTTTTTGACTTTTTCCCTTTCCCTTATTGTGTTATATATCTTTTTGTGCATGTAATAGGTTTACAAAGTGAAAAAGCCCGAAGTCCACCTAAAGGGAGGTACCATCTCCCACAGAAAACACTGCTCCTGTGGCACGTCCTCAAAAACACACTGAGCTGCAGGCCACTCAGTGACAAGACATCTGCCTGCTGTTTCCTCTCACACCCACCCTCCCTACCGAACGTTTGGCAGTCAATGGACACAAAGTTGTTAGTGTGATGCAGAGACAGCGCACAGTTAAAACTTAACGTATGGAAAAAAAATTTGTTCCAAATTAATAACTTACCGCTCTGAAACATCTTGCTCCAGTCTATATTGCTGAGCTGGTAAAAAACATGTACTGCTGAACCGAAGCCTTGTTTACCGGCTTGTCATGACTCACCCTACTTTGCTTCTGATTGGCTAGTAGTCCTTAACTAGGTACTGCGCATATGCAACTCCCAACTAATTCCAGTGGAAGGGAAGATGCGTTTAGTCCATAAATCGTTCCTATTTTAAGAACCCGTTACATTAGCTAGCAATAAGTTACTGTAAAGGCACAAAACATTAGCTATCAATACAGGCAGAGACAAACCCTTAGGTAACAGTACTGGCAGAGTCATAACATTAGCTAGCAATACAGGCAAAGACAAGCCCTAAGTTAAGAGTACTGGCAAAGAAATCCGTACCGCCAGGAAGAGCCGTTCTTCAAATGCGCAAAATCTGTTCGGTCAGTCAAAGAAGGTTACCGCAAATCTGCCTATTCAAAAAGATCCTACTAAATCTTTCATATCAAGATAACAATGTTTTTTTAATCAATGGAGATTTAACTGTTCACAATGATGTAATATGACTATACTTTAGATATTGAAAACCTTGTTCAACAGTATATTTTTAATTTTTAATAATGACAGCAATCTCACAATGTGAGCAACACAAAGGAGGCGGTCGACATGCATACAATCGTTGACTTAGGTTTAGGCACACACCCTGATGGTTAGGGTTAGGATAAGATGCTTTGGGAAGCTGTCAACGCATTTTATACTAACGTAGCTAGCTACCTAGCTAGCTAGCTACTAGCGCTTCTGGTCTAGACAGGGTGTCTCATTCAGACGAACCCAGAGGCGTCTCATACGGACGCCGAAGGGTACCTTTTGCATCAAATAACGCTAATAAAGCGTCAGTATTTGATGCCCTGCATGAGAACAGACAAAAACAAATAATTATGAACAGGCGCATTTTCTGTAACCTTCTTTGACAGACAGGACCCTTTTTGCGCATTTGAAGAACGGCACTTGCTGGTGGTATGGATATGGCACTGACAATAACATTAGCTAACAGTACTGGTAGAGTCATAGCATTAGTTACCAATACAGGCAGAAACAAACCCTTAGCTAACAGCACTGGAAGAGATGGAAGCGACATAACATTAGCAGTACTGACAGAGACAAACGCTTAACTAACAGTACTGGGACTTAACATTAGCTAATAATAAATAGTGGCAGAGGCATTGTATTAGCTAACAATACTAGCAGAGACATAACGTTACAGAAATATATAACATTAGGTGTTGCTTTCTGGTGCAACAGGTCAAGCAGCTAAATACATTCCTGAAGAATAGATTTAGGCAGTGAGGAGGATACTGTTTTACCAATCAGGATTGGAAATAAGAGATTTTCTGGGGTACATACAGGTCATTAAATAATTAGGCTGCATTTTAGTTATTTCATCCGTGCAACATTATCGTTTCATTATTATTCATTAGAAAATATGTAAACTCATTTATTGCACCGACACTGTCTGCACCAGCACTGTAAATAGATGATAACTGAAGTAGTGTGAGGTCTTTGCCACCGTCTGCAGCTGGTTCTCTAATGATACCTTTATCCTGCAAAAGCCTCAAACAAATTTCATTTAGCTGATTTGTCAAGCCACACACTGCCACAATCTGGCAAATGGAAGCACGTTACTGTGGAGACAGCCTCTTATATACTCCAACGCATTTCCTTCTTAAGGCTGTCGGCAGTTTATGGAAACATTCCCGCTAACATGAAGACAGATTTGTGCTAGACAGTATCTGACCCGATCATAAAAGTGCCTCATTTTATTTCATGCTCATAACACACAGTTGAGAATCTGTGATCCATATCAGTCACAGGTTTGAGATGGACTCCATGGGGTGTGTGCATGTGTGTGTTCAGCTCTGCCTGACATCTCCTGACCTTTCGTTCATTTCTTCCAGCCTCAGTTGGCCAGTCAGTCAGCCATGCCATTACACCTTGAAAGACACACACACTGTCTGGGTAACTCAAACATATGCATATAGAAACACATAACTTTTTCTTTCTATTTTACTTTTTGCCACAGTCTGTCTTTCTCATTTTTTCTCTTTAATTTCCCTCCTACATTGAGGCCAGATGGTTTCACCTGCACTTTTAATTCAAAATTTATTTTCATATGTGTCAATTGGATTTGTACTTGTGATATTAACGTGTGGAACAATGGAGTTTTAAACAGAAATGCTAAATCTAGATCTACAAGTTTGCAGACCTTTTGTTTTATTACCTTACCTAATTACTTACCTTGTAGCAGTCTGTCCTATAAAAAGTCTTCAATAAAACAGAACTTTGTTCTCAAAATGCAATGTTTAGTTTGTATTTTGACAATGTAATATGTTAGAAAAATCTCAGTAGCAAGCTAACAATGATCAATACTTTTCTCTTCCCCCTACAGTGGTTAATGCAATAGTCCAACACAGCTATAGTGCTCTAAATCTGCGTTAATCTAGACTGGTTGCATGTTGATAGGCTATAAGGCTATTGGCTTTATTGTGAAACCCATTGTTCTCTTTATATTATCTCAATGAAAGACAAAAGGACAAACATGACATCTATACCTGAGAAATTAATTAAATAAAATTCTGCTCCCATGGCTTAAAGAAAATGAGACCAATGTGAAGCTACGTTGTTTCCTTTGCCTCGACATGATGTAGTACCTGCGTCACTGATGAAGAATACTGTACACAAGTTATACATTAGAGGAAAAAATTCTGTGACCTCCACCAATGTATCCCTGAGCAAGACACCTAACCCCTGGTTGCTCCAGAGGCGTGCGACCTCTGACATGTATAGCAATTGTAAGTTGCTTTGGATAAAAGTGCCAGCTAGGAGCGGCACTGTGGACCAGTGGATAGCATGGGTTCAAACTTTGCTCGCTCCGGTCTTTCGGTGTGGAGTTTGCATGTTCTCCCTGTCCCCCCCGTGTCGCGTGGGTATAATAATGATGATAAATGATGATGCAAATTGACAGAATAAGTACTTTCTATTAAATATTTTCCATTTCACTTCTGATCCACCACATCATCGTTTTGACTTCTGCTTGCTTAACCTTTACACAGGGGTGGTCTACTAAACTGTTTAATTAGGCTATTTGCGACCACAAACAGCATATCACTGCATCTTAATAATGTGCTGTTCAGTAAAGAACAGATGACATTTGCTGACACAACATGATTGCAAGGACAATTAACATGGACTGACATTTAACCATTGTTGTCCACCTTTAATCAGTTGCTGTGGTAATTACTGTATCCATCAGCTGTAGACAGATCATCTGGTGGTCTGAGACAGAGACATTTTAGAGGAGACATGCGACTCAATCACATCCTCAATATAACTCTATGTGGAAAGCCCGTAACGGCAAAGATGGCGGTTAAACCGCTCCTCCTGCTAGAAAGCCAATCGTCTGGTTTTAACAGCCAAAGCTGGAAACATATTTCAGCCAATCTGTAGTTCCACTGACGTAAGGATCTGTTTTACTTCTACTGTGCATGAGCGGAAGAGGTGAAAAAGGCTTTTGAAACCTTATTTTGGGGCAAAGTCGTCACACTTTTTCAGCGATTTTTATTAGATTCTATTCAAGTAGTTTTTGTAGTCATGGTGACCAGTGAAAGTGCATTTCTGGCTCTATCCCCATTCATTCAGATAGGAGCCTGGTCTTGTTAGTCCAAAATAGATGCCCAGAGGTGTTGCCAAGATGGCGGCCAAGTGGCATGACTTGCCTAGAAGGACTTTGTCTGAGATCAGTTTGTTCCATAACACAGGTAGATCAGTATGTTTTGTGATACTAACCAATACAACACTTGTGTCTTTTTGATTCTATTCTAGTTTGCTATAAATACACTGTAATGTTTTGTTGCTAATCAGCCA